TGTATACTTAACGTTCGTTAGTTTCTGCAGGACAACCGCCGGGCCCTTCCAGTGAACGTCGAGTTAGTTCTTCCTTGAAGTTATCAATAACATGACTCGGTTGTTCACCTAAAATGATCTTGGCTTGGCGGATCTAGCGTAAAGTGCTCTTGAGCTCTCCTGCGCCCTCTTCATAGCTTTACCGACCACTAACTTTACCTCACTTAGTCGCTGCAAGAGATTTAGAACGTACTGTACGACGGTTGGGTCCTCACTTTGATCTTCTCGTCGCGTAGGAGTCCTAGAGGAGACCGCAGCGTTCGTCCGTACATGAGCTCCGCAGGACTGAAGCCCATGAACTCGTCAGGTGCTGAACGGAGCACAAATATAGCCGCCGGAATAGAAGCTTCCCAGTCTGCTTGGTGCTGAAAACACAAAGCTCTCATTACTTTCCTCAGCACCCCGTGCATCCTTTCTACCCTGTTAGATTGTGGATGGCAGATGGAGCTGTGAATAAATTTGATTCCACACTTTCCAAAAAAAACGTCGTAGTTAGGGCTGTTGTGAAGACGCTTCCATTACCACACTGAATGTGAAGGGGAAATCCGTCTCGAGAAAAAATGGAAAGCAGCGTGTTTACTACGCTCGTGGAGTTCACCTCCTTGAGAGGGATGATCTCGGGGAACTTCGTTGCAGGGTACACTGCTGTCAAGATGTAGTGATATCCCGACTGCGTAACGGGAAGCGGGCCGACGATGTTAATAATTGCCTCCGAAACTGCTCTGTGATGATGGGAACCAAGCGCATCTGAGCCTTGTGCTTGTCGGATGACTTCCTTATGCGCTGGCAGTCGTTACACGATCGCACAAACTGCAACATCCTTCCAGCATTCGTGCTAGTAGTATTGTATTCTTTCATCAGCCTTGCCTTGGTCTTCCGGAATACCAAATGCCCCGATCAGCAGTTCTTGTGAGCCAGCCCGGAGAAGGTCCTCTCTAAATCTAAGCGGAATGACCAACTCTTCAAAGTCCCGGCCCTGGTCTCGATACTTTCGGCACAGCCAACCTGACTTTCTGTGGAACGAAATATCCTTGCGCGCCACCTCTTCCTTGTAACCGTCCGGCAATGCCTTGAGAGTGGCATCACGGTTTTTCTCTGCGATCAGTGCATGTAGGTCAAGGGTACGAAGCGTGTCCAGTCTTGGAGAGAATGGCGAAAGAAAACCCTTCCCTTCCTCGTGGTCCGCTGAAATCTGCTGCTGGTTGGGTGGGGCACTCCTCGTGGCATCCTCCGACCGCAAGTCCTCTTGATGTGCCGCGCCTGCAGGTTCTCCGTCGACCAGCTCTTCGCGCGCCTCGGACCGACCCTCCTCCTCTTCGTTCGGTTTTTATCTTAGCCTTAATGAGAGTTTTCTCGCGTGGGATCGCGTTAGTGCCCTTACTGTCCCCTCCGCGAAACTCTTCCCAACACTACCCGACTTGTTTGAGAACAAGTACGGAGTGTTGAGGCAAGCTCTTCGAGACTGCTGCCTCAGTGATGAGTCCGCTGAAAGGCCTCTCGTTACAGATTTTCGCAATCAGAAGGCAGACGCTGTGTTTCTCTACGAGTTGCCTTATCCAGGCGCACTCGCCGGTGTAGTCGCCTGACTCGACGTAAGGCGGGTGCACTACATCCATTATTGCTGTCGAGTCGCGAAGCACCATGCAAGCTTTGCCTTCAAAACCATTATTTTTTATGTGCGGAGCCAGTAAGGTACGGTTGACGGCACCCTCTGCAAGATACATGAACACAACCTTCTCGAGGCAGTTGGCCACGATGTGCCCTTTTTTCTGAAACCGAGAACCCCGAACTGACTTCTCCGCCTCGAAGGCTCGCGCGTTCTTTTCAGCATAGCTGCCTTTCTTTTCCCGACATCTCCCTTTCCTTCTACGTCTTTTTATCATCTAGGACATTTCCCGTGTTTCCTCTTCCTTTCCCGAGTTCTTCTTTACCGATGGAAGCTCCTTCTGGCCATCTCGCCATGAGCGCGTTTGACCCCATTTGTCTTCTTCTGGACCCCTAAGCATGGAGTACTCCTCCGCGGGATATGTCACCTTCTGTAGGTTCATTTCTGGGTCTTCATCTTCGACCCACAAGCTGACGTTCTCCGGAATACCTCGTAAAAACTGCTCCACCGCAAGGCACTCGATCACCTTATTATGATCCCGCACACTTCCGAGCTCTTTAACAATATTACCAGGTTAGCCCTCAGGGTGTACGCCAACTCGGAAAATGACTCTATACCTTTCTTAGTCGCCGTGCGGAAAGCTACGGAACGCGTTTGTCCTAAGACAGTATTTCTTAAGAAATGTCGAATTCGAGCTTTCATAGCTCTCGGCCTCCTTCCACTTAACCGTGCAACAACGTCAGCCATCTCACAGGGCAACAGCGTCAACAAATACTGAGGCCAATCTTCGCGTGCGAAACTTGCTCGCTCGCAGCTTCTCTTGAAGTTGACCAAGAAAAGACTAATGTCTTCTCCTAGTTTGTGCGGCTGCATTAATTCCTTAATCTTGAATGCCCGCTAGCCGCACACCCGATCCAGGATGACTTGAACACTCAGCATCAATTTTTGCCTGCTGTACCTGTAACGTTTTAAGTTCTAATTGGTGAGCTCGCGTCTTGCGCTCGCGTTCCTCCTTCGATCTTTCGTCCTGTTCCCGAATCAGCTCCCAAGCTTCCTGAAGCTCCACGTCGGACACTTCCTTCTCGCGAAGTAGCTCCATGATCGGCTTCCTTCACTTTGGCTGCCCCACACTTATGCCAAGTACCTCGCATAGCGCCACAAACTCAGGAATGCGTAGCTTATAGACATCCATGGTCCAGAGTGCGGCAATCTCCCTTGCCCATCTAACTCAGTGAGCTTGAACTTCGCTTTTTTAAAGTCAAAAATGGCAAACCTACACGCGTCCACCTAACACTGAGTAAAAGGTCTGGCAAACCAAGGGAAAATTGCAAAGCACTCATCCGTATCAGGAATCATGAGCAGGCGCGTCGTCCCAGCGCTTCCACCAGTTGTTGGAACCGAGGAGCTCTACAGGCAGCCTCTGGTAGCCCGGACCGGAACCACAGGCCGACTCCCGGCAGGGACATCAGGAGACGGGAGGGTCTCTCACAAAAGACTGGTGAATTACACATATACAGAAGTATCTACATCGTCTGAGAGCACACTTTGCGACCCTTGTTTGGTCCCTTTATAGGGTCGCTGTTAGGGCCCCAGGTGGTTGGCAGCCAATGGTGGCCGAACTGCCAGATAGCGTCCATGTCCAGGCCCCACCCCCTCATCCCCCGTGCATGCACACACACACACACGTACAGACTGCAGTGGTGGTCGGACTTCACATTCCGGCACCGAAATATCCTCGCCCTCTATAAGCCGCGCCGAAGAGGCGACGACAAAGGGTCCGCTGTCAGCCCAGGAGACGAGCTCTACCGTGATAGTGATGATCCCTCCATTAGGCGGCGTTGTGGCTCAGGAGAGGGATTGGCCAGATTATCCGCAAGTAGCGTCAGAGAATAATCCGAACCGAGCGCACCCTCACGAAGGTCTCGCAGCTGGCGCGCCGTCACCCGGAATCTTCATCCGGTAATCCCTTCCCGGTTCCTGCGTCGACTGACTCCTACCTCGGGCCAACTTAATCCCAGCCAGAAAAAGAGTCCGGCTCAACTTCGCCTGGGAAAAAAGAAGGGTAAAGCAAAGGAAGGGCGAGGTCTTGGCCAAGGCCTGTCACAACAAGGGTTCTACTATGATAACAAGAAAACAAAATTATAACCTTCTTCAGAACTTAGTTCGTGTGCTGCACTCTAAGAACTTCCAGCCTTTCCACTATGGTGAAGAAGGAAGTGCAGCGGAGCTGTAGCTTGTATTCTCGGCGGTGGCTTTCCAAGCGAGCAATCTGCTCTTTTTTCGCACGGCAATCTGAAGCGCTCGACGCAGTGGAAGTTTAGGCGATAGCGGCCTCGCGGCGGTTGCGGAACCATTCGTGCCGCTGCGCACATCGCCGCTCGTTCCGTTCCCGCTCTTCTTCCTCCGAAGAAATGTTGCCGCCATCTATATGAGCGACGGCAGCAACAAGATGTCTGGTTGCCGAGGCTGGAAAGGTTGCCGCGGTCTATGAGCGACGGCGGCAAGCAGACAACCGGCAAGCACAACACTCTGGACAGTTACCTTCATCTATGAGCGACGGCGGCAACCAGGTTGTTGTGTCGAGATTTGTTTAGTACCGGACGTGATCCTGAGGAAACTAGCCCTTAACAGCTCCGCTGTAAAAAAAGAAAACAAAACAAAACAAAAAAAAATACTTAGTGAGTAGTTTGCCGGAGAACTTTTAGACAGCCAATCCCGGCGAACAACAGAAAGATCTTGTCAAAATTACGAATCTCAGGATACAATTAGACCAAAAAAAATAAACGACCGTACAAAGTGTATTTCGATTGACGGCGGCGGCTGTGGCGTTCTGGAAAGGTAGGTTTTGGATGGTTTACTTTTAATCTATCGGCTTTAGCGAGCTTTGCTTTTGTAGAAAAGTTGTAGGAGATGTACATTAAAATACATGTGAAAGGCAATTACGCGCAACCTCTCGTACGTGAAGGTCAGGGGCTCCTGCGGCCCCTGCTCGTTTCTTGCTGCGGTAGCCCTCTTTATACTCTGCACAGTCAATACCATTTATTCACTAATGATGACCTCTTTCGCATGATTTTTTTCCTAAAAGGTATTGGCTCAGCTGAACGCACGTGCTTCACTTGCCACTCTCGGTCCTCAGACGGAGGACTGCGAGGAATGGCTATGCTAGGGGGGCACATGACATTTTAAGCGATCCCGCAGCCTTCTTAGATATACGAATCAAATTGTATCCCGACACTAAGGCAGCAAGAATGTCGATCGCTACGGTTATAATTCGAAAAACATTTGGATGAGGCGAATCACCATAAAGGATAAAGTACGTACAGAACTGGCAGAAAAAAGGGGCAAACTGCATGGATACACTTTTAGATATAGCTTTAATAGATATCACCATGTCGACAAAGATCTTATGGGGCGACAAAGTAGGTGGCTCTAGGATGAATGTTCTATGAAGCTAGCTAGAGTCAAAACCTAGGCGTAGACGACGGGAGCGGCGTGACGGCCATACACGAATGGAGCGGCCACTGGAGTAGCGTGCACGGCCTTGACCACGGTTGGGGCCGGGACCTCGACGGAGGAAGAGTACGTGGGGGCATCGGCTGGCTCAGAGGTCTTGGTGCCTGGCTCGTTGGTCTGGACGCTGGCACGGAAACCGAAGGCGTCGGCGACGTAGTTGACGGTGCGGGCAACGCCGTGAGCGTCGACGTAGCCGTAGGAGCCAACCTTGTTGTTGTTCACGTCTCCGGTCTCCTGGCGGGTCATACGGGTGCCGAACTCATCGACGTTGTCGTAGCCGAAGCTATATGGCTGGGGTGCGGGGACCTGCGCAAAATATTAGGATAATTAGACAAATAAATTTAAGGTTTTTGAGTTCATTCTTTGCAAAGCCACGAATAGTCTAAGATACGCAGGACGTTTCTTTTTATGTTTACGCTTCTTGCATTCTTATTCTCTCTTCGGTATTCTTTTCAGCTGGTGCAGAAATCTCACTCGCTGCGTATCAAAATAAGTTACTCGGAATTCGACACACCCTCCGTTTCTCTAACTGTTAGTCACCGTAGAAAAAATTGTTTTTATTATCTTGTTTATATTTTATTAACCCTTTTTCACTGTTAAATATGATTATTGTGAACATCTGGGCAAAGTTTATAGAATAAAATCAACGTGTGGATTCGTTACGCGAATACACTTTTAATAATGACGTTGGAGTGGTAATGAACAAACTATGAAGTCAGCCGTTTATGTTACTTCTAATATGAAGCACCCTTTCTACTGCCATAATCTTCATCGGCGGTGTTCTCAGAAAGATATATCGAAGTATATAATTTTATATCGGTGATACATGTTTTAGAGCGAATTATCATCAGTAAACAATAGGTTGTTCCTGTGTCTCATAATCTATTTTGCCAGGCCTGCAACCATCTCTGCCGTTGATGCAATTTATACTTGCCGGTTCAACGACGACCTGGGAAGCCACGTAGGCGAAAAGGCAGCACACAAGAACCTGAAACAGATATACATAAGAATGACAGTGAGCGACACAACAACGAAACCCGAAAAGAGTGCACGGAATCGCAAGAACTTGTTTGCACCTTGGAGAACATGGTGAAGGCAGTTCCTCTTGGTGAGAAGTGGAATTGATAGTGCACTGCTCATCTGCTTTTCCTTATATACTCGGCGCGGTGCAACACACGCAGTCCTGAGAAGCATCAATCTAATCAAGCAACCATAAAATGAAAAAGAAACAGCTTTGACTGCCAGCGTGGACCTGGGGATGTGAATCTGTTTTTTCCAGGAAAGGAATGTGGCGACACTCTACGTAGCTGTAGCCAGATGATTAGCATCTAGGCGTGGCGTGATGGCATTGAGATGAATGTACTACGAGTATTTTATAGCATCTCACAAGTTAAGTGCTTGAGAGGCTGTGAATTTGAACAGTGACCTTGCTCTAACGAGCTCTCACGGCTTCGCATTACCGCTCAAAAATGCCATTACTTTTTTTCGAAATGAGCATTTTCAGTTGTTTTTTTTTCACAGCATTACTGGTTTGGTGGAGATGAATAGTTCGAGTACAATGTGTGGTGTCACTAAAAGAAGGACAATTCCATTCTCTTTAATCAGAGTTCTGAGTTTACTCTTCACCAGCTTTGATGAGTTTGGAATTTAATGTCCATACTACAATAATTGAACATTATAACTTTCACAGACGTTCAGGCGCTACTGAAGTTTAGTGGAAGTTATTTTATTGGCAACTTTTACATTACGTGCTTTTGAGATTCCGGAAAATATCGTACAGTACCGATCAAACGCAAGTTATTATGTTGACAGCTTCACTCCATCCCGAATGCACTTGAGGTGCAACCATTTTTTGTTTTACAGTGCCATTTTAACAGCATTAGATAATTAAGACTGCGATCAACGCCAGACAGTTTTGTAATGACGAGGTCTAGAGGGCTATGTCTCACTTCAAAAGTAAATTGTCAAATATGTTTTAATATTCCTGACAAACTTATAACGAAGCCCTTGGCCACATCTGTATGTTAAAATGGGTGGATATTGTCAAGCGGAGCACTATGTAATACACGCTTAATTTGATAAAACAATGGCAATGCCAAATCAGAAAATACTAATTCTACACCGGTCTGGGACCGTACTATCAGAATCGCATCGTAGCCAATCTGATTGTCCTCGTGTGGCTCGTCATCCTTTTGAGCTGCTTGAATGAGTCCGAAACAAAATATTGCGTGGATGTGTCTCGATCCTACGGGTTCGAATTTCTGCCGAGGTTGCTCCCCCGTATTCAGTTAACATTGCCATTTAATGAACCTTTGTCCCATGTGATCGTCTTCCTCCTTTTGCAGCATATGATCATGATGCGTTTAAAACTGTAGCACACGCATCTTCTAATATTTCTATATGGAAGCTTTCCAACTTGTAGCACACTTTTAATGTTGCCCTAATTAACTAAAAAATACAAATGGCCACGTGTATCTTCAATTTTAGGCGTTGATTATAATGCTCGAATTAATTTTAAAGTACATGTATTTGCTCTTAAAATAATTTTCACTCTATCTGCTAGGAACAAATAGCCAAAATTCGCCTTATTTTAAAAGTTATAGGAAAATTCAAATTACAAAAACAATAAAAAAATAACCTCCTTCATGACGTCCTTGGTTGCTTGAGTGGCCGTGAACTAGAGGAGGGGTAGTGACCTCAGCGCGCGCTCACGGCTGCCGTACTCCGTGTCGACGACTCGAGAGGGCGCCACTAAAGCACGAGTTGGATAGGCTGTATGAAGCGGGCAGCCAGGACGGCTCGCATTGCATTTGCTGCGCAATAAAACACTAATTCGGCATGAAATTTCATTGGCCACAAGCGACATCAAACGCGGAGTAAAGATCAGTTCAGAACGGGAGCCACTATGCGCTGCCATACCGCCGGACGGCCAAACCGCAAGCCAAATCTGCTCGCCAAAGGCGACGGGTCATTTCTTGTTTCCGTACTTTATAAACTGCATTTGTTTCTTTTCTGATCTAAAATACTGAACAAGAACTACTTTAATAAACGGTTCGCGCCACTTATATTTTGTGTTTCGACTAAATAGAAGCTTTTAGCGGCTCTGACCAGTAGTAAGCCCAGGACCAAAAGACTTCACATGTCGCGCGGTTTCGGACCTGCGGGTTGCCCCCGTAGGTGGAGGAGGTTTGTTTCCGCGTCGTCCGGTTAGAATATGACGCACCGCCATTTAGTAACTCTCTCCGTGCCCTCTAGCTTGCCCGAACCCCAAGAGATGGGGAAAACGCGAAAAAGTTAGACGCTTAAATACGATTGCAGGGCCCCTGTAAGGCCTACACTTCCATAAAAGCATACTATTCTGATTTGACACAGAATGGTCCTTGGCCGAGTGAAAAAGGTTTTGCATACCAATTCAACCCATATCACACAACGCCATACTTAAGACCCAGAACTAGAAACATCTCACAATTACGTAGTATTATCTTCGAACTTCACATTTGAAGTGGTTCGAGATATTTACATTTAGCGTATACATGTCCTGCGCGCATAAAATATTTAAAATGAATGTCCGCGCTGTGCGCCAGATCTTTTTATTTAAGAGATCTCTAAATGTGAAATTATTAACGACAATTTAAATATTTCACATTTAGACGTTTCTTAAATAAATAAATAGAATGAACAGTTCGAAGAAAACAATGCTCGTTGTGTGTCATGTGACACTGGAAGTATGGTATACAACCATGGCCAAATATCAAACTGACCTGCGTACTCTTTATATACAAACGTGTATAATTTACGTCGCATGGCTCTTTCATACGATATTACGAAACATGCCGCAAAAGGCTGCAGAAGTTTTCTTTTTTAGTAGAACGAAAACAAAATAAAGAAAGGGGGGCCCAGTTTTCTTCTCACTACATTATGGTATAGTATTAATGTTCGTGATTATGTATTCTTTTAAAAGGCGAAATATATATTCTTGTATATAGAAGAACAACGTCCAACTCTTCTTAGAAACCTAAATCTTTATTGCCTTTTATTTATTTATCTACCCTCAAGGCACATAGTGGATAGATCTTTCTTGAAACATCGGGAAGGTTCTGCAAATATTCTAGTTTGGGAGGTTAATTCGAGGTGAATACACTCATAACATCGCCATAAACAAAAGTAGGAAATTTTAGATCATTTACCCTGAATCCTGCTGAGAAACGTTTTATTCACTTTCATATATACTGCGCAGAAGTGGACCTTCCGCTGCAAATTGAACGGGAAAAATCGGCGCCTTCTCAAAGAAAGCATAAGCTTTCACCGAAGAGACAATGAGCAGGTCAGTTTTACCGTGTGAAATTTCAAAGTGGGGTTCCCTTTCTTTAAAAATAAGAGCAACAAACTTCCCAATGTCAACTCAGCGCGCGTTCGCAGGCGACCAAGTTGGCGAAAATATTTGCTCGTGGTACCATCTCCCGATAGACGCAGCGAGCAGACAATGGAGTCTGTCGTGTGCTTCTTTTGCCTATCGGCAGATGGCGCCACAAGTAAATAGCGTCACTAACTCGGTCGTATGCTAATGCTCCCAACGTTGACTTCGGCAAATGTGCGGCTCTCATTTTTTTTTTTTTTTTTTCAGGAAGAGAAATACGTTTTAACATTTTCAGTGGTAAACGGACCTGCTCAGTACCCACTCAGTGAAAGTTCGAGCTCTCTATCTGCGGGAGTCAATGTTTCCGGCTCGTTTTACGGCGGAAGGTCAGCTAGTGCCATCCTGTACAATTAAATCCACTCGCAAAATGAAGCATACTATACCGATCTTCCCACGCTTTCGCACCCCGGTGAGTTTGTTGGGTGCTGTACTTTATGTGGACTCGAGATGTCTGTCAAATATGTTCGATGTGGTGTCAAGTGCATAGATTATGCAATAGCCTATGAGGGTATTTCTTAGGCGGTCAGAGACCATACTCAACAGACGTCTCTTATACAGTTTCTTTTTTTTAAGATTTACAGATTTGTTTAAAAAAAAGCCATGAAAGCTATTCTTATGTCCATTGTGCAGGTGAGTTACATGGCCAGGGGGACTTAGTATAGGGAGATTATCGTAGTGATCAGTCGGCTAAATAAGTAATGTTTGTTAATGAACTCTTTAATTAGTGAAATTATACAAATCGTTCCCTTTAGAAACTTACTGAGCGTCAGCAAAAACCACTAGATCGACTCTTTTTAGAAGTATATAACGCTAGGGCAGCATTTTACGGCGTTCCGTAAAAATGTCTCCTTTGGACGCGTTTCTAGGTTTTGGTTTCTTACCGGAGCGCATCTCTGTGCTGCTCCCCAGTGGAAGAGACGAGCAACACACGTGCGCCCTACTTCCCCCCATCCAACGAGAGAGGCATGGGGTGGCTTCGCGCCGCAAGCACCGGGAAGAGGACCTCGGGCGCGAAAATGCGCTCAGAAAAGAAACTGAAACAGAAACACGTCCAATTTGAGCGTCTTCTTATAACGCCGTAAAATCCTGCCCCTCTCTTATATCTTCCTAAAAAGAGTTAATTTAGTGGTTTTCGATAATGCTCAGCAAGTTTATAATTTGAATCATTTATAGTTTCCCTAATTAAAAAATTAATTATCAAATTAAACTTAAATAGCCGACTGAACGTTGCGATTTTCACCCTGTGCTATGTCTTCTGGCCGTAAATCTCACCTGCACGCAACGGGTAAATGGTGTTCTCAGGTTTTTTTTTTTTTTTAATCATATCAGCAACACTTAAAAACAAACACCCTCTATAAATAAGAAAACCTGTCTTATTCTGGATATATATATAAAGGCACAAGAACAACAAATGTGGATTCATATATATATTATTTTAATTCTATGGTGTTAATGACTTAGGAACTCTGTGGACGGCCCAGGTCATAGCCAACTGGGGCGCGATTTTGGGAGGGAGACGCCCGACTGGCGTAGTCGAGAGGTGAGGCGTTGTAAGCCAGGGGAGCCTGTCCACCCGTCGCTCTGCTCATTGCTGCGGCGAGGGCAGCGTGAGCTTCGTCCACACTGATGGGAACTCGGCGAGCGGCCTCGGGTCCGGCGCGCGCGGCTTGAACGGTCGCTGGAGCTGGATGGGAGTACTGAACGGGCGCTGGAGCTGGTCGGGAGTACTGAACAGCAGCTGGGGCTGGCTGAGCGTACTGAATGGACGCTGGAGCCTGACGAGCGTATTGCACAGACTCTGGAGCTGGACGCGCGTACTGGACGGGTGGTGGAGATGGACGAGTGTACTGAACGGCTTCTGGAGCCGGGCGAGCGTACTGGACTGGAGTTGGGGCTGGACGAGAGTACTGTACGCCAGCTGGAGCTTGGCGCGCGTACTGGACGGCCTCTGGGGCTGGGCGACCGGTCTGAACGGCAACTGGGGCTGGACGGGCGTATTGGACAGACGCTGGGGCTTGTTGAGGGTACTGCACAGAGGCTGGAGCCTGCCGGGCGTACTGGACAGACTCTGGTGCTGGTCGTGAGTACTGGACGGAAGCTGGGGATTGGCGAGCGTTCTGGAGGGCTTGGACGGGCACCGGAGACTGGTATGCGGGCTTAGCTGACGCTGGGATCCTCTCTGCCGTCCTTTCTGGGGCTGGGTTGGGGGGAGCCACCCAGGACGATTCGTATGGGGCGTTGGCAGGGCTGGAGGTTCTGGTTCCTGGCTCGTTGGTCTCGATCTTTACACGAAAACCGTCCTGGTCGGCGACGTACTTGACAGTGCGTGTAACGCCGTTTGGGTCGACGTAGCTGTAGGAGCCGACCTTGCCGTTGTTTTCATCGCCGGTCTCCTGACGGGTCAGCCGGGTGCCGAAGTCGTCGGTGTTGTCGAAGCTGTAACTGTACGGCTGGGGTATCCGCACAGGCTTTTCCTAGAGAAGACACAGCACAGTTAAGATGAGCGTTCGTGTTTTTTTTTAAATATTATGTGGTGTGAATGTTCTGTTTTTTTGGCTTATTGTGCTTTTGTACTTATATTTCGTATTTTCTTCAGCCAGAATGTTAGGCAACACAGAAGCCAACCGTTATATCTTGATAGGAGAGAAAAGAAGTGTCTTCATAGATTCAGAAATAAAACTAGGTGTCCTGAAAGACACAAGTTATTTCGTATTAAAATATATTTCTTATGCAACAAGAGAATAGCTCGCAGTCACTCCTAAACGCATTGATTACTTATATTTGCAATTAAACTAAACGGAATAATACAATTCTGATGACGAGCTATTTTAATTTACTCACCTCCTGAACTGCCTGGGATGCCACGATGGCAAAAATACAGCATGCAAGAACCTGAAACAAGGAAGTCCAGTGTTAGTGAAAATGAAAGATTGCAAAAAAGAACAGTGAGTAAATCCATCAAGCGAAAAAAGTATATTCTCAAAGACAACCACAGCACCTTAGTGAACATGGTGAAGACGGTTTGTCTAGCTGAAAACAAATTGAAGTTGTGCTCGATTCTGAGCGGAGCGTCTTTTATACTGGTGTCGGTAAATTCCAGTTACGCCCAGCAAAACGCTGCCAATCTCGTCAAAGCAAGCACCACGGGGAAAAACAACTGGCGTGCTTACCGCGACGTAGCTTTAAAACGTGAATACCTTGACGAAGAAGGAATGTGGAGAGACGGAGAAGCGTACACATTGCCGTGGCTGTAACGTCAGAAACTGAACGTGTTATTTTGGGATTGGAAACAGTAAAAAAAGGTGACATTCCAATGTTAGACGCTGTTCTGATGCTGGTATTTACTTATTTGGTAAAGGGGTTTGGTTTGTTTAGTACACAAAATATACATCATATTAAAGATCTCTCTCAAAAGCTAAACAAAATTTGTCAGAGTTAGTTTTAGGAAAGAGCGTAATTAGTTTGCAGTTTCTTTAGAGATAGCTTCTTTGAGGAGGGGGTGTGCGTGTGTGCTAAAGCTGATTATAATGTACGATTTATTACTGATGACTGTGGCAGAACTTGGCTGACCCAACGAAGCACTGTTGAAGATGATAACACATAAAATCATAAGAAAAGTACCCCTTGTTTATTCTTTCAGTAGAGACCATGACAAATCAAAATATGAGCAACAATGAGTTCGCGTGTTTAAAATGTTTAACGTTACATTTTTTTGACGCTGCGGTTGGAGTTGTCTTATTTATTGATTTATTGATCGTGTTATCCTTCACCACCAGCATTTGTGAGTTTCAGTATTGCGTTTGGGCGAAAACGCAATCACTGTGAGTTTGCGTTAGCGCTGTGTGTTTCACACTGCGCATGCGCGGAGCGCAAACTGCGTCTTTGGTTGGAGCATGGCGACTACGCACATGTGGAACGTGCAACACACAACGCAAAAACAGAGCGCTCTCGTTTGGTCCTATACACAATGTACTTAAACTCTCTATTAAAATTGCTGAAACACCGGTGAGTCTAAAATTATCATTGCTGCCCCCCTGTTTACGCGTAGAGCGAGCACAGTTTATCACATTGATTGCGGAACCTTTTGTGCTCCTTGTGTTTGAAAGAGTGAGCTATACTAGTTTAGCTAACCTAAACATAAAGCGAAATTCCGTGATTACACTATTCTCACACGGTCCTCTTACACCGTCAACGCCCATCTCATCTCAATGCTTGCCACGTCGAACGTGCTTTGAGATTCGCTGTTATTTTTTAAGGTCATAGAGACGAAAAGGTCGACATCTCCAGTGGTGCATGTCATATTAATTATCCGCTATGTTTACCCATTTCCGTGCGACTATCGGCTCGCGTACGTGTTCCGAATTGCTTATGGTGATACCCATTTGGGATCCACTTCAATTTATGATGGCGAGACGAGATTTTCCTGAGTCTGTCTCCTTGCTCAGTATCTTTACCCCAAACACGTATGAAACAGCAAAACGTTTTTGTTTTCCTCGCCACACCTATCTCCTTGGACTTTTTTTGTCATGGGCAGTTTGGAAAAACAAAAGCATTTCCTGCCGCCTAGAGGAAAGTTAGCCGCAAATTAAGAGACACATTGTTTTTAATAAAGAACGGGCGAACATTCAGTTGGATTCTGTTGTTACAACCATCATCGACCTGATTTCTATCAACATTCTTCAAGACTTAATTAAAGCAAGAAGGAAGTAACAGCTGCATATAATGTGTCCGATCCCACTTGGCCGAGTGAACCTCTGAAATAGAAAGTTAAGTGATCCTAAACGTCTTTTGCGGGCAACGTATCCTGTTTTAAGTCCTTTGCTTCCATACATTGGTTCTTATTTAATGTTCCAGTGACAAAGGAATCTTTTTTAGAGTTATTAAAATTTGCAAGCGACTACTTTAACGTGAGTCGTAGCTTTTATCTTCGATTATTTAATTCTATATACTGCACAGTATTCATTCCTAGAGGGCATGTGAGAAGCTGTTAATAGCGCATTGGGGAACGCTTTTTTCTAATTATGATATTAGTTTAAGGTGAAAAAAAAAGTGAAAGCCGTTTTCCCTGTAATGCCGAATTAGAGCGCAGCTCTTGAGGAGGAGGAGGGAAGGGTGCTGGGGGGGTTTCAACTGACCAGGGGGGGGTCACGTGACCTTGGGGGGTCAGGTGACCCCCAATGCCGATGATGTCATCACTAACGTCACTGATGACATCATTAGTGACTATGACGATGCGGATACCGATGACGTCGTTAGTGACGTCACTGATGACTTCACCAGTGATGATGACGATGCGGATACCGATGACGTCGTTAGTGACGTCACTGATGACTTCACCAATGATGATGACGATGACGATGCGAATGTCGGTGACGTCATCAGTGACGTCACTGATGACGTCATCGGTGATGATGACGATGCGGATGCCGGTGACGACATCAGTGACGTCACTGATGACGTCATCAGTGATGATGACGATGACAGTGCGGATGTCGGCAACGACATCAGTGACGTCACTGATGATGACGATGACGATGTGGATGCCGGTGACGTCATCAGTGACGTCACTAATGACGTCATCAGTGATGATGACGATGACGATGTGGATGCCGGTGACGTCATCAGTGACAATGACGTCATCGGGGGGGGGGGGCACGCGACATCGGCGGGGGTCACGTGACCTCGGGGGGTCACGTGACTTCGGGGGTCTGTGTGACCTCGAGGAGGGGGTCACTTGACCTCAGGGGAGTCACATGACTTCGGGGGGTCACGTGACCTCGGGGGGGGGGTCACGTGCCCCCCACGAGGTCACGTGACCCCGGTGGGGGGCTCGCGCGGTGCATTATGGGACATTTCCCATAATGCACCGCGCGGTTACGCCGACGGCGACGCCGACGCCGACGCCGACGCCGACGGCGACGCCGCTCAAGCCGGAATTGGGCGCCTAAGAGCTGCACTCTAATATATCTATAATATTTATTCGACAGACTGCCTCTAAACAGTAAATATCCCCGATTCCAGAATCAACTTTTGACAGGACCTCACCTCCTTTTACTGCATCCTAGATTTGAAGGTTTATACAGTGATTCAGAAAAATAACTACTTAAAGTTCCTGCACGTGTATTTCACCGCTCACGTTATACTCGTCTTTACCATAGCCGGGACATGATATAAACGGTGGGTCAGCCGTGCGCTGTGTAGAGGGCATGGGAGGACAAGCGAGTTAAAATAATGTTGAGAGTATGGATTGGAATATCATTAGCTAGCGTGCGATTTCCAATGTGCTTCTTTTCTGATAATATTTTCACGTACCACTTTAGACTCGAAGTAATAAAAGTACACGTTTTATTGAGGCTGCGTCCTTATTTTATCGTTCTGGTGGATGCTCTCCTTTAAAGTGTATTGCTTCTAGTTATAGGCCGTTGTTGCAATTGACTGTTGTTAAACATAACAGCATCTCGCGACTGGGAGAAAAGACCTGCGAGGAAAAGGAGGATCTCGTGCCATCAGAGGCCCGGGCACGCACAATTTTTTTTTTCTCTGGACTGATCGTGCAACCGCTATGACGAGCTGCTCAGATTAAATCGCTTGTGAAGCCAGAGGCTGTTGGAGGAAGTTTTTACAACTGTTACAGGCTATGTTTCCGTTCAGTAAATACTTAAGCAGATATCAGCATATTGAGATGCATTAAACATCTGAATTGAGTGAGTCCAACGTGCTTAGCAGCCACTTCCCACGAGTATAGCTAGGTTGAGCCAATGGCCTGGCAACGAATTCAGCATTTACAAAGATATACAACTTTGCTCTTAAATTCGAATATATACGATCTTTTATGACACATTCCATGAAGGTTATGCAATAACCTTCGCATAGTCATTACAACTGGGATGGTTAAATTTGCAAGTCGCGGAATGGAACTTACATTAATTAAGAATGGCTCCTGGAGGAAAAAATATCGAATGTCGTCTGTTTCTCCCTGGACAAAAACGCGTAAATAATTTTAAAGAGCAAAACCGTCGTAAACGTTTTGAGGAAGAATGTCGGCAAAAATGATTTTTTTATTTCTTAAGTGTGCATGCGCCTTTATAATCTATAGTTGCACATATTGATGTATTCACTAAGGACCTGAACTGTGTGGCAAAATAATGTTTCAAGAAATTCAGAGGTTACATCACTATGTAGCATGCAACGTACTGCTCCTCTTAGTTGACATTAGAATTCCCTTTGTTCTGAGAATGACAGGACGACTGCGCATTCCACAAATCGATCCACAGGAGCCGTTGGGAGGGGCCGCATTCAGACTTCCGAAAACAAATAAATTGTTAAATAAGTAGTTTCAAACTTTCAAATATATTCTTTTTGCGGGCCTCTGCAGTTTCTCAAAAAAAGGCTACTGATTTTCGGAGGCTAACATCAAATATTTGCAGGCATATTTTATTATATTTTTAAGTTCTGCAAAATTTATTTAAAATAAATATTTAATAATTTTCTAAAGCTGAGTTCTCAGTTTGGCAGGGGGAAACTTTAGTTTGCCTGGGGTAGCCCATTCAACATTAGGGATGATGACTATGCCACAGATATGTTTCTTAGACACACAATAATCTATAAAAAATTTATCACACGAATTAAAGAAAAATATGTATCTTATTCACTATTTTTATTCGTCGAATCAGCGCGCACGCACCGTTGTAAGTAATATTGACTATTGCGCAGTGAGTGGTTTAAAACTAGAGCAGTCAAAAATACACAAATGTAGGCATCAATTACTGTCGGAATTTTCCGCCTTTCTATTGTGCGAAGGTGCAATAGAAAGGCTAAAGGAACTTAGCTAAAACGAATACCTATTTGTACGCATTTGTGCGAAATTGATAGAAAACCGAACTGACGGATGAGGATCTGAAAAAGAAAACAAGTCCAGTCTTGTCACCTATACATCTTTATTTCTCTTCTATATGTTATCTATCAGCAGCTGATATTGCGCAGCCTTTCGGCCACGTAGATCAAACATATCATGCAGGTCGTAAAAATCCAATCCTAGACATGGACAACTGGAGCGACATGACGGCCGTACACGACTGGAGCAGGGTGGACGGCGCTGACCGCTACTGGGGCTGGGTGGACGGCCTTGACAACAGTCGGGGCGTGGACCTCAACAGAGGAAGAGAAGGTGGGGGCATCGGCTGGCTCGGAGGTCTTGGTGCCTGGCTCGTTGGTCTGAACGGTGGCGCGGTAGCCAAAGGCGTCGGCGACGTAGTTAACGGTGCGGGCAACGCCGCTAGCGTCCACGTAGCCGTACGAGCCGACCTTGTTGTTGTTCACATCTCCGGTCTCCTGGCGGGTCAGGCGGGTGCCGAACTCGTCGACGTTGTCGTAGCCGAAGCTGTATGGCTGGGGTGCGTGCTAAGTAAGAAAAAGGCACACAAAAAGCAGTTAGGGAAGGGTTCGAAACACTCAAGGCTACGCGAGAAGTTTTAAATGGGAATAATGGCGAGTGTATCAGTTACTGGGGTAAAGGGGCTCATTATAGGGTAAGTTGTTTGGTTGCACCCTCGTTTTTTTGTGTTTGTATTTAAATTGTGCTCAGTCATATTCGGGGTTTTGCTTAGGGTGCTTTGAGTATGTAATCAAAGTAGTCGCCTGAATTCGCTAATGCCGACGTGTGTATTGCAAGGTGAGGGCGATATCAAAACGCTGTAAAGAATAATGAAATATTCAAAATTTAACCACTGTAATCAAACCTATGGGGTATAAGAGCAGAAACATCTAGAAATACGTTCCGGGCCACCTAACTCACATATTCATATATACCAAGCACTCATGGGAAACTGGACCAAAGAGTGTAGAGTGCCTTTTGGGGTATCTTGGAAACCTGTTGGTTGGTGACGTGTTAATCCCATGCTTATTAATATTTAATCCTAAATGGGCATTATCTGCAGTTACGCTAATAAAGTGATTTCACACGGAACCGGCCTTTCGATCTACGTCTCCGATGTAACTTTGCACTCGAGTGTTTACTTCTAGTTTACGGAAACGTTTTGTCTTGCGTCCACTTACAAATATTTCATCATCTTGAAATGTGCTCTAACAAATGCAAACATTTTAAGACTGCGGGATATTAGTATTGATAATTAAACGTGGCGAAAATAAATTTCTTTGACAGATCAGCGTTCGAAATCAAAAATAAAATGATTTTCAATGAATTTTTTTTTGTGTGTGTGTGTCAATATACTTACGTGCTCAACAACCACCTGAGATGCCGCGAAAGCGAAAAGGCAGCACACGAGAACCTAAAGTAAAAGAGAGCTCAGTTAGCGAAATTCGCATGATTCGATACGATTCATGATAGTGAGAGACCTCCAGATGCAAAAATCGTCGATACCTTAGAGAACATGGTGAAGCTTGTTCCTCTTGTGGTAAAGTGGAAATGATGCTGCCTAGCTAGCCATCCTCTCCTTATATACGGTCGGAGTGAATTCCAGAGCGGCTCGGCTACTGGAAATCTCTTTAGCTAATCTATGTAAGAAAAAAAGTATGTTCTTAGCTGACGTTTCCAGGGGGTTGGGAAGCAAAACCACATAAAAAAAGCCGTTTATAGATGGTTAATTAGAAAAAAAGATTGGTCTACCAATAACTGTAAATCCTTGCGGTTTTGATGTTATCGCTCCGCATAAAAGTAGACGAAAAATTTAACATTTTAGCTCAATTTAGATGAAACTAGAGAAAAAAATATATAAGTGTACTTTAAGCCACTTAACCTTGACAAGTTCCAGCAGTGATATGTCTTGTGAAAATAGAAGAAACGGGTGAGAACCTTAGAAAGTCATGGCTATCAGAACAAATTTAATATATCAGGTATAGTTTTTTTTTTTAACTGGATCACAGTGCAAAGGCTTTCTTGCAAGTGGGACTCCGCCCTAGATGCAACTTCGTATATTTAAATATATCTTCTCTAAAGTGTTAACGATGAATTTCAAATGTCCTTAAGGATGGTGTTTTCTCAAATCGCCCAAATCGAAGTTGGTGAGGTTAAATAAATATTAAAAAGAACATTACCACTTGTTTATTAGACATTATTATATTTGATAACACTCAGTTTGAAAGAAGTAACCGCCTGCAATTTTCGATTAACATAGGCTCACTCGAATTTTAGAGGGAAATGACTGAATATAATCACCACCTTATAGGCCCCTGTGCAACACGACTGAAAGGAGGCCGAAAATGGTTCTTGTGTTTTGGTGAGGTATGGAGCAGGGTTATGTCTTAAGTCACATACCATGTATCATTCACAACCAATTCCTTTTAAACCAAGATATAAAATACAACAACCAAGGTGACTAATTTAGCTCAGGACACTTATACATTGCCTCGATGGTATCATATGACAAGAATATTATACCCAAAAATGTATAACGGTGCTGTCATCATTGAATTGCTCCGTGAAGAGACAGTGCCAGGCTCTCTAAAAAAATATCCAGCTTGCCTAAGCGATTTTTCTTGTAAACTAGCGACTGTTCGCGCGAAGGTAACCCTCCAAGTTGTGTTAGTGATGTCGATAAAATACTGATTGTGACACCTATTAAAAGCCCTTAAGTGCGTATTTAACGTTTAACAAAAATATTATACTTTTAAATGCAAGGTTTCTGTACTTACGGTCGTATCGCTTCAGGAGTCCTGTCACGTGACCATTCTTGTGGGCACGAACATAGTACGAAATATTGAATTTCCTTCCCCGAATCACCGCTTTCTTTAACACTTTGTAAAAGCCCGTTGATTATGCCAGACATCCTTTTGGGCAAAACGTACGGCTTAAAAGGCCTTGATAGTGTCTAATCCAGGTCATTCTTATCAGAGCTTAGACGTGTATCTACTCGCAAAAATATTTATTCACTTTCTACAATATTTATACAGAAAAAAAATTTATAGAGGATAGGTATTCTAAAGGGGTGGTTTCACTTGAAATTGAACACGCGTGTCGGGGTGCGTGCCCCACTTCCGTAGCGGGATCGGCACTCCAGTGAGCCATCACGCACCAGCTCGGAACAGGTGGAACGAAAGCTCGCCCTGCGGAACCCAGGGAGCCTGGGTTCAATGCCCACCGCTGTCCGTGTTGATCTGGATGAGCATCGTACCGGCGTGTGGTCGTCTATCACTACTGCGTGATGCACGTTAAAGACCCCAGGCTAGCGGTTGTACTTCACTGGCAAAATTGTTCATGTATGGCTGGGAGACAAGCCGCCAGTTGAGGCAGTCTAACTTCTAAACTGTATAAACATACGCCCCCCTTCCTTAATACAAATCAGCATTTCATTTCCTTTTTTTAGAAAATATATTTACATTCGTATTATTTCCTAAGCGGGGGCAAGGTGAGATGTTTAATTTAGGTTGCTTGATATTTGCACCCAGTTCGGGCTATCGACTGGAACCACGTTGTTTTAATTTATTTAGACAAAGTAATATGCGTACATTTTTAAATTTTATCAAAAATTAAATTAAGCCATACTTTGAGCCCCATTTATTTCAAAAAAATTCAAATATTTTGTCTCTTTCTGGTTTCTTTTATTAATCCCAATATGTCCCCTTTCGTTTGGCCCAATCAGAGTTTCCCTTTTCGTTGTATTCTTGAAACAAATCATCAGAAATACATCCACAATCCCAAACCGACAAAATAGCAGTCTTGCAAGTTAGCTTTAGTGCAAAGTATTTAACGCTTAGAAAGCAAGTGGCCATAGGGTTACAAGTGTTTGGGAGATGAAGGGGAAGAGACAGCTGGCGGTAGAGAGGAAAAGGGGGGGTGGGGGGGGGGGTTGTGTGGACGTGATGCCATTAGAAAAAGAAAAAAAATTTGCCCCGACGCTTCTGCGGTTCCGACACCAATGGCTACGCGTCTTTTTTTTTTAATTTGAATTAGGATACTTTAGTCGCGGTGTATATTGTTGTTTATTTTAGTTTAGTAAAGTTATTATCTTTGTGTGCCTCATCTAGTCGGTGTTTTTCTGCTTTTCGTCTTCTTGCCCTCCCGAAGAGTGAACGACTCGATCCTAACGGCTCATATAAACCAGAAGACGACTTCTGCAACCCTTATGCTGCGGCTAGCACTCAATCCTTTGCTTCCGTTTTTTTTTTTTTGCGTTCGAAGTTGTTTTTGTCTGGATTTCTGAATGGCTGACGTTCACAGATTTTGTCGAGTCTTCTTACGGTGGTCGATATAAAAATAAAAAATAGTGGAATCTTATTTTCCGCTCTGTTAAGCACGTCACTGTGTGTCTGCTTAGGTCAGCTATTACAAAGTTTTGCAGAGAAAAGCTCTTGCTTTGCAATGTCATATTGGAGCAAGTAGAGGAAAAAAATATGGAAATCGGTATCCAACACGTAGGCACAGCCTTTTCCAAAAGGTTTAGGCCCACCCATGCGTGGCCGAAGCAGGCTCGCTCCCGTGTAGCGGCGCTCTTATCGTCGGCGCTCGCTGGCTGCGAGATGTTTGAGAGCAAGTGGGAATTTCGCTCTCGCTATTCTGCGCCACGTTTTTTGTTTTTGTTTTTATCAATGCGAGCACGACGACAGAGCAAAGTTCCCCCTCGCTCTCAAAACCCCCGCAGTCATTGAGCGCCGACCATAAAAGCGCCGCTGCACGGAAGCGAGCCCGCTCCAGCCACGCGCGCGGTTGGCTATAAACTTTTTAAGAAAATACTATAAATATACTGTTTGCTTTGAGGTGGTCTTTATTCTTTATGAACGTAGGGAATGAAGTGTCGTTAACCCTAATTCAGTGTCCGTAATGACTTTCACAAATATCATAAATGTTATAACTTCGCCTCGGTGGTCATCGACCGAGATCCAGACAAGAGACACCCGGCTTCGATCGCACCCGCGTTCCAAGTGTTAAGGGGCGTTTATTTGTAAGACAAACAAGAAAAAGTCAAAACACGCGACGCCCTCCTAGTGGAGGTAAATCATTCAGTCACTACATTTCCCCACACTAATCCAAAACACACGTTACACAGTACAACAGCAACACTTCAACTTGGTCTGCCAACCAGGTAATAAGTAAGCCTGTCGGGTTGCCTACTTATTCGCGTTCTGTGCCTTACAGAAGGAGCGGGCATACCAGGTTCGTCATCGCCATGACTATTGAAGTGGTTCTCAGGCTCCGAGTCCGAGTCATCTGAATCCGTGGATGCTGCCGGCTCACCGTGGTCCACCGGCGAGCTCCGTTCTGTGTCAAATCCATTTTAGGATATTGGCCTCAGGTGATCACAGTGTACAAAACGAATCCTACAAAAGACTAGCACCAAGTATGTAAGAGCACTAATTTTCTTCGTCACATTTGCTCTTGCCCATCCCGTTTCCTCCCCTCTCAGGTTTCGCACCCACACATTGTCTCTGACATTGAACTCCCTCGGCCCTGCCTGTTGGGTGTCAACGGTCTTCTTGGCTTCATTTTTGTTTTTCTCGCCGAAAAGAAGCAGAAACGGGTTTCAACAAGGCAAGACGTGTCCGTGGCAAGCGCCGAAGAAAGAGCTCTGCCGGCGTCTTCCCAGTTACTTGTGGGGAGTTTTTCTGTACCGGAACAAAAAGTTTGACAGCTTCAGCTGCATGCTCCTATTTCTACCCCGCTCCCTGTCCTTCAGTACCTGTCCAGAAGGGACTTCTTCACCGTCTGAACTGCGCGTTCGGCAAGTCCACTGGATGCCGGATGGTAAGGAGGAGTTGTCGTGTGCAAGGTTCCATTTTCACGCATAAAGGATCTGAACTCTTCAGACACCAGCTGTGGTCCATTATCTGTGACCACTTCTTCTGGCAACCCGAATTGCGAGAATATCATCTGCAGCTTTTCGATGGTGTGCCAAGAGGTCGTAGACGACATTAGAATGACTTCCAGCCATTTTGGGTGGTCATCAACAAGGATCAGTATGTTCGATTGATCTTTCTGTGCGATATCTAAGTGCACGCGTTCGAAGATCCTAGTAGCCACCGGCCACTGTTGGACTGGAGCACGGGGGAGTTGTTCTGCGTTGCTTGACAGACATCGCACGTTCGCACCAGATTCTGAATGGCAGCGTCTAATCCATTCCACCAGACATGCTGTCTCACCAGCATCTTCATTTTAGATGCTACCGGGTGCCCTTCGTGTAGAAGACGGATGATGACGTCATGCAATGCTTTTGGAATGACCACTCTCGTGCCCCATACCAAGCAATCCTGGTTGGTAGACAACGCTTCTCTTCTCTGGAAAAGGGGAATTAAGTCCGGATCGTCTGCTTTCTTAGGCCATCCTCGTTTCGTGAGTTCGATGATCCGAGGTAGTAGGAGATACTTTTTAGTCTTTTCCTGCACTTGAGGCACTTCGCTTTTAGGAATGGACACTTACAAGGTTCATGTGCAGAAGAACCACATCGAGAGCAGACA